GCTGAACAAAGCTGTCCTGCAAATATCCACCAGGTCACATAAATGCTTTATTGGCATCTCTTGGATAATCATATAAAATGCTGCTGAAATATCTAGTAAGAAAAGCGGGGCACAATTTATTGTGTCAATCTCCAGGCTAAGATCAACAACCAAGGCCACAGGTGCAGTCATAGTGCTATATCCAAAAAGAAAGCCAGAATGACAAGAGTAAAGGAATCAGACAGCATTCAGATGTTGACATCTGAATTATTAAAGGAAATAGGTTCACAACTCTTGAAATGACTATTCAGTATAAACAAACCTCCAGGTTACCTTTAACAGACTATTGGAATCTTAACCATGATTTATCAACAACAGCCTTAACTAAATTTTATATTCTTCCCTTCCTCTGTCAAGAGCTAGAGGGCAATAACTATCATAAGGTATGGAAGTCTGCAGTGAGTATGTGAATTCCATCAGTAAATGCCTTGGTTATGAGGTTATATTGTGCACTAGGGCCTGTGCAAGTAGGCAGATATTCAATCCGGCTTCAGATTCAGCAGCTTCGGATGCCAGGGAGCCAATCCGAAGCTCCAGATCGGTTTCCTGCTTCCATCTGGCCGAAGAAGCACCAAAGCTTTGGAGCCGCCTCGGAGATCCAGCCATAGATTATAACAGGGAAATCAATGAAATAGCTATACACTTTGTTGGTTTTTGTCTGATTTGAATGGAACTTGCAGGGGTGGTAGCCTCTCCTGAGAGCATGAAGCCTGCCAAGTTTCAAGAAGGTCTGTTTAAAGGTTCGGGGGGAACTGCACCCCAAATTCTTGAAAGCAAAACTCATGTCACGTGTATGTGTTACACCACAGGGGGGTGAAAACTGCAGGGGTGGTGGCCTCTGGTGAGGCCACAAAGCCCGCCAAGTTTCAAGGAGGTAAGTGCAGGGGTTTGGGGGAAACTGCACCTCAAGCTGCGGACAAGCAAAACTCGTGACATGGGTGCTTGTGCAACTGTGTCTGTCTGGGGGCACAGGGGGCTGCAGGGGACTACTCCAGGCCTGACTGCTAAGCTACTGGGTTACCAGTTACCAATTAATCATGATTCAATCAGAGACCAGCTCAATATACAGTACCTAGCTACTATATAACGAGTTAACGAGCAAGGATTAACATCTACAAAACCACAGACTAAGAAGAGGAAATAATCAATACAGGCAATCAACTGCCCGAAGACAGACACAGTTACACAAGCACCCATGTCACGAGTTTTGTCTGTCAGCAGCCAGGGGTGAAGGGCCCCAGAACCCCCTTCCACCCATCTCCTTGACAACTGGCAGGCTTCGTGGCCTGAGCAGGGGCCACTACCCCTGCAGTTTTCAGCCCGCTGCAACTGCACCTTAACACACACACAGGGTCATTTATGTCACGAGTTTTACCTGTCAGCAGCTTGAGATGCAGTTCCCCCCAAACCCCTGCACCTATCTTCTTGAAATTTGACAGGTTTTGTGGCCTCACCAGCAGCTACCATCCCTGCAGTTTTCACCCTCCTGTGGTGTAACACATAGACGTGACATGAGTTTTGCTTACAAGAATTTGGGGTACAGTTCCCCCTGAACCCCTGAACCGATCTTCTTGAAACTTGGCAGGCTTCATGTTTTCAGCAGAGGCTACCACCCCTGCAAGTTTCATTCAAATCAGAAAAAAAAAAAACAAAGCTATAGACATTTCACTGATTCCCCATTATACCCTATGGCCAGATCTCCGAAGGGGCTCCAAAGTTTTTCCAAAGTGGTTCAGAAGCTCCGAAACACTTCGGAAAGCCTAAAGAAGTCAGTGCTTCGATCCGGACATGCTGCTTCGGATGCCGAAGCACCCGAAGCTTCTCCAGATGCGAAGCATGGTCTGAAGCCTTGCACAGCCCTATTGTACACTAACCCTGTCAGTTGAAAGTTCATCCAGAAAGTTTCTTTAGTGTACCAGGCAGTGGTTAGAGTGCTCTAAAAGAAAATCTTTATGTAAACCACATGCAGAAGAGAGAGACAAAACTTGTCAACATGCTCTGCAAGTATCACAGGTAGCCACCAAGACCAAAGGTAGTGAAACTGGTCGTTCAACTAAAAATCACTGAATTCGCATGAAACTAAACTCAGAAACAAAGGCTAAACAGACGGTATTTGGATTCTGAATTTTCAAAGTAAGAACTGTCCCAGCATCTGTACAACTCTTTATACAACGGAGCTGTCCTCTTTGCTGTGGTTCCTAACCACTACCGTAATACAAATAATATGTTAATAAGATGTCATATGCATACTAAGGTGCAATTAGATTGCAATGCAAGATCTATGCACCCAATGAGAATCCCTGGGAAAGTTAATCAGAATGCACAGATAAAGGGCTATCTAGACTACAGGTAGAACATGGGCAGTAAAAAGGAAGCAGGTGAGTTAAGGCTGATACTGGCACTTTAACAATTATTTCTACTATTTGTTCCTCCCCAGAGGAACAACATTACTGACCTAAGTTTTAAAAGACACTATTATTCTCTACCTTATATTACAAGATTTCTGCTTAAGAATTACTGTACATGTTTCATGGCTATTTGGTTGGTAATTTTGTGAAAATGCGTTTCACCCTTAGCATGCATCAGTTGTGCCCATGAAGCCCATGAGTCACCTTGCAGCACTCTTCTGGAGCACTTTCAGCCATTTCTGTGCCCATTTTCTACCTGCCAGCTTTATCATTAATCTCTTTGAAGGAAACTGATTTTAGTTTCTGACCATGAGAAACATCCTCATATGTCAACTTCAAATTCCCAATTTGGCAGTTCACAGAATACAGATTAAAAGGAAGTTTGCACATTATGCAGAAAGGACATGCATATCATCCCTTCAACTGAGTCTAGAGTAGCTAGTGATATTACCGAATCAGAAAAACAGCACGAGAAAAGAGCTTTAAATCTTTTAAACCTTTATCTGCCTTTTCTTTTCACTGACTTGAATGCAGGCACCTACCCTGGAGATCTTTAAAAGGAGACTGGACACACACCTTACTGGGGTTATTTGACCCCAGCAGTCTTTCCTGCCCAAAGCAGGGTGGGGCTGGACTTGATGAGGTCCCTTCCAGCACTAAACTTCTGTGAATGCGATACATACCCAAGAAACCTTGTCTGCTGGGTGACTCTGATATCTTTTATTAGACCAACCCAAATAGTTGGAAAATAATTATTAAGCAAGCTTTCGGGTTCAAAAAGCACCCAATGCTTCCTGGATGGAAGAGCACATACCAACTGCTGAAACTTCCTTAGCCTGACGAAGGGTTTTTGAACCCGAAAGCTTGCTTAATAATTATTTTCCAACTATTTGGGTTGGTCTAATAAAAGATATCAGAGTCACCCAAGAAACCTTGTCTGCCTATGTCCTTAGACCAACACGGCTACAACCTACACCCCTGTATACATACCCAGCTGCATTATCAACTCAAATCAGTTGGGGAATCTTTTATGAAGGTGGTGTGATCACAACAACAGAAGTACATTGTTAGAGTTTCATCAAAACATGCATTAGCTTAAATTAAGCTTTGTTGGTTTTGAAGTCATTCCAATATATAGAGATTATACTTTCCTTCTTTCCAACCCAGCACACCTGGGCAGATCATACATTCTGGCACAAACTGCACTCCATATATTCTTTCAAAAAAATTCTAGAAAAATAAATCTTTCATATATATTATCATGCTAATAAGCAGGATGTGATTTTATAGCTTTTGCAAAAATATAGGCCATGAATGCAAGGATTAGATTAACAATTGTGATTCCCTCCATATAGCATCGACATAAAGAACTTCACTAGAGTTGGACAGGCTTATATAAACTTCTCACAAATTTGCATTTTGCAATTAGTGTTCATGAGGTATTTACCAACTGTGCTGGTAGAGATTATAAATTTCATGAAACCCTAAATGCAACTGTGAACTTGGATGAGTGAAGCTGGCAAACAAAACTATGCAATTGCTTATTGAAATATGCTGTTATACCCTTGAGACAGGTAAGTAACAAAAAATGGTATCTATTTTTTTAAAAATATACTGACTGATCCAAGGAAATTATGGTTTAGTAAA